CTCTGGTGTTTCAGGGGGCTCAGCACATCTCACACCCAGCTTAAGGAACTCAGCAGCAATGGGTTCCCATTTACAACCCATTGCTCTGGAGAGCCACACACCCCCAAATCCCTGGAATTTGCCATAGCTGCTGATGTATGGCTGTTTCTCTCCTGTGGCTGTGGCAGATTGATAGTACTTTGCTCTTTCTCCCTGCTCCTGCTACATGGCAGGATCCCAGGAGGAAGGAATGAAAGGGCCCTGATCACAGATTTCTCCTGAGCAGCAAACCCTTATGCTGGCTCTCCAAGCTGCAGAGAGTTTGCCCATGCCTATACAACAAATAATCAGGGGAGAAAAAAAAATAAAATCAGTGTATGATTATAGCCAGGCTTGGCCAAGGCAACATGGGACAGAATTAAGCCTCATCTAAAAGGCAGATCATGGCTCTGAGATATATATATATGTATATATTTCCCTGCCTTTGAACCTGCAATAATTACATAATGAAAGAGGAAAAACTTCAAAAAAAACTTTAAAAAGTAAATTAAAAATCCAAATCACAAAAGCAAAAAGCCAGGCACCCAAGATATCTTTCCAGGAACAGCTCCTTCTGAATTAGAACTCTGGAATTGTTCTGCAATCAATTCAGTGGACAGTAACCATCTGTTTATGGAAAAAAATGCTAATGGTCCCCAATCATAATCAAATAGGCAACTGCTTTAAGTACCTTTTAACTAACACTAAATTACAATGGAACAGCTCTGCAAGTATTTCTGACATCCACATGCACATCAGCAGTGCCAGCACTTTGATCAGGGCTATTAGAGCAAATATCAAATAAACTGATAGCAATGGGATTCCTCAAACGTTACGGAAAGCGTGGGCAGTATTTGTTTACTGTTCATTCAGTTCTCCCCCACCTCCTCCCTGTTTCTGTTTATTCAGAAAGAAAACACATATATGCATGTGCACACACGTGCACACCATGCACCGGAGCAGACCCCATGAAAGCCTGACCTCTGTGTTTTTCTGTCCAAGGCTGAGCTTCCATGTGAATTCTCCAATGTCCAGAAAGCCTTGAGGCATTTTTATCAGCAGGACATCACCCGACCTGTCATTCTATTAAGTTCCCTTAATTCCATGATCCCTGTAAAGGCATCTGTAAGTCCTGTTCCCTCTCCTCTGTGTGGAACTGGCCAGCACATCCAGAAGCTGCAGCACAGAAAGGGGAAATGCAGGCAGGCAGAGCTGTGCACAAACACTGGTGTATGTACAGAGAGGCAGCATGATCACACACCTTATTTCTTTAGGAAATCAGATTAAAAACCAATTGACTCTTTGCCAGCAGTAACCAAGTCTGAACCATTCACTGACACTGGCTCCACTCGAGGAAGAAAACCTTGTTTGGACAATAGAAGTAGTTTTTAATCTCAGAGCCTGGAAAACAGTCAATCTCAGCAAAACTGCAAGTGCTCTTGTCTCTAAATTTTCTCTAGCACCTTTCTCTGCATATCTCAGCTAACTCCATTTGTTTTTTATTGAAGTTGTGCAGCACCAGGAACACATCACAGATTTGCATGAGTATACGTCCTTCATCCTGAGGCAGTTGCAAATGTAACAGAAAAGAAATAAAAGGGAAATATATTTTAGTCTACCAAACGAAGTATTTACAGTCTCCATCACTGCGCGATCCAAACACTTTGTATGCCCCAGATGTTTTCTGTGTCATTATTATTCTTTCACAAAATTTAATTTTTCTTAGTCCTGGGACTTGCATGTGGCTTTTTTATTATACTACAAAATTTCATTTCCTGTCATCTGCTGAGATTAAACTCAGATTGGAAGACACTCTTTACAAGGGTTGTAGTGACAAGCCTGACCCCAGGAGGTGAGGTATAAAGCTTTCCACCTTGGATGGGCACTCAGGGAACGTGGAACACTGGCCCCAGAGTCACAGCAAGTAGCGACTGAGAGCAGGATATTGGGCTCCTTATTTCCATGTGGCCTACACCATCAAAAAAAAAAAAACCAACACCCTCTTGGGACACGGAGTAAACCAAAGGACTCCAAATTTCAATTTCTTGCTTGTTTAGACCCTTTTCTTTTCCCCACACTAATACAAGGCTTTAAAAAGCATCCTGGCCCCTCCTCTGGATACAACACCCTTCAGCAAGTGGCTGCCTTTCTGCAACTTCAACGAGTCTCGGTTTTAGCATTCATTTTTCCCAGTGGTTTTCGCTCCACTGCCTCTCTGTTGCTCACGGAGCACCACTTTTCACAAGAAAAAGGAGCTTTGTTTGCCATTTCCCTGCCGCCTCCACCACCCCAGCTCCAGTGAGCTCCTGTCTCCCCCCAGCTGCCTCAGCCCACCCCGTTCCCTCCCAGCGAGAGCAGCCAAAGCCGACAGGCGGCCAGAAAGGGGCTCTGACCTCCGCCGCTCCGTGTTAATGAATGTCCTCTCCGGAGGGAGCAGGGGAAGGCGAGAGGGATGGCCCTGAGCCAGGCTGGGCGAGCTCAGCTGAGGAGCACAGCGCGTCAGAGCTGCTCTCAAAGGAGCTTTTGTTGGTGCCAGCGCTCCAGCCCCGCGCAGGCACGCTCGGCTCCGCAGGCTTTCCCACCGCTGCAGCAGGAACCGGGTCTGGCTCTGGCCCGACTCTGCTGCACTGCTCCAAGGCTGTGCCACCAGCAGAAGAAGACAAAAGTGGACAGACCATCCCCTCAGAGTCCTCTCCCAGCACACATCCCTCGAGCCACAATGGCTTTCTTTCTACAAAAGCAGCTGGACGCTTGGCAGCCTGGTTCTAAGGTTGGTGGGCAATCCAGCAGGCTGGCCCAGGGAGCCTTCCAAACACAACGTGACATCCAACTCTGTCAGTCCATGCTCACCTCTCTCTAGGAAACAAACCATCTGCTCAACACTTGGAGAAGCAGAAGGAAAAAGATGTACTCAGAAAGCCTCATGAGGTGCTTTAGGTAACATGTCCAACACGAGCACACAATGTTCTGCATCTGACAAAATCAACAGGAAAAGTCTGCTCCTGCAGGCTTGCCAAGCTGGGATTTCAACAACAAGTGGCAATATATCAGCTGGCAACAAACAGCTCCCGAATCGGGGATGCACTTGCCCAAAAAGACTCGGAGTTTGGATTTTTTGTTTCTTCCTTAGTAAATGACAACACACTGGGTGCCACAAAGGATGCCTCTTGCCCAAGGGTTAACTGAGCAGAGTTTAGGCAGTGTGAGCAGGCTATGGTGGTGCCTATGACAATCATGACTTAATAATCTCCCTGGTTTTGAAGATGTATTTGTCCTCTGTTAACTCAATTTCTCCAAGCAAAGCAAATAAAATGTGTAGAAACTTTGTAGGGTTGTGCTTTTATATCAGAGTTGGAAGAAACACAGCATGATGAGGAGGAAAGCAGATTTTTCTGGCTAAACAGTTTTGCCTCCATTAAACTTCACACACAAGGGCCCATCATGGCACCCCTCTGGTTTCTGGGAATGCAGAATATCCGCTGACACACTTATCCAAACACCTCTAAACACATACACACATCTGTTCACCAAGACTTGTTACTCACATTAGGCTCACTTCACTCCCCTTTGATTCTCCCACTGGAGTCAGATGTTACTTTTCCTTTTCATATTTGTATCTCAAAGCTCCATCAGTGGCACATGCCCAAGCACTTCCAATGTGTTCTGACAAATCCCTCCAGAAAGCACATAACATCATCCCAGTTTTACAGATGGGGAAATTAGAGCAGAGGCAGAGGTTAAGAAAGCTAATTGCCTATGGCCACTAAGTGAGTCAGTAGAAGAGCTGGGAATTGATCCCAGGAACCATGTCTTCTATTCCTCTACTCCACCCACCAGTCAGTACACTCCACCAGATGGTTCTTATCATTGGACATATGGACTAAATATTCCTAAGTTGGTGTAGAAGAGTCACTATTTAATTAAATGTCCTGTCTTCTATCTCCATAGGATGCACAGGAGAAACTCCAGCCAGATTCCCATCTGGACCCACTCAGGAAATGTCTACGTGAAGAAAACAAAACCCTAGGCAAGTACAAGGAACATTCCCAAATCTAGCAACCTGCCCTGAAGAAGGGACCACAGCAAGGCAAGGAAACAGGCAGTGACTTGGGAGCCTTGGGAGAAGCTCGTGTTTGTCAAAGCCTGGCTTCAAGCAGGGCATGCACAAGCCACCAATTAGGCTGGGAACTACTTTGTCATGTGGAGGCTCTTCCTTCTGCCTTCACTGGGCACCATCAACACTGCCCAACTGGAGATATCCGCAGAGTCACAAAAACCAGATGACACACAATTATCTACTTCTGGCATTGACTTTGCCTCATCGCAGAGCTGTTGTCCCTAGGACAGAGACCAGTTCTGCCTGGCAAACATCAAATGCCTTCTCAATATCAGTGATACTTGAAATAAATTTCTAAAGTCGTTATTCATGACACAGAGGAGAAAACCTTTCATCAGAGAGTCACCTTCCACACTACTGCCTTCCCAGTATAGTCATAAAGTGACAGCAGCATCTCAGTCCCCACTCTGAGATGGGCACAGAGTGGCTGCACCTGCCTTCCCAAGAGAACTCAAACCAATTTTACATGCTTCTGTTCCCCCTGCACACCCTGTGCTCTGCAGCCAGCGCAGCAGAAGCCTGTGCAGCATCAAGTCCATAAAACAGATTTCACCCAAGACCATGCTGTCCTGAACACAGTGCAGGGCTGGAGGGAGCAGACTCAAAGCTCTCCTGGACAACCTGTAGATGCAGTTAGGTACTCAGAAGGAACACACGTCCACACTTCTGCCCACAGAAGCTCACACAGGTGAGAACCACCAGTCCATTTTGCTTCCATTACTCTCTCAACAAACAGAAGAGGACTGCACTCCCTTTGGAAGGCTTTGCGTTGTAAGAATAAAGCCACAACACCTTTCCACGCGTGCTATAAGAGCTGGGCAGTCCTGGAAGGTGCCTCCTGCTAGGGGAAAGCAACTGCACCTACCTTTCATCCCAAACTTGGACCGCCGGCCATACTTGTTGATCATAATAAAGAGGACGACCAAGAGGACACAAGCAAAAGCTGCCAGCCCAACCGCTATGGAAACCTGGAAGGAAGAAGCCTTAGAGTCAACACAGAGGAATTTAGGAGTCTAAATCAGAAATACAGCACCTCCTTGCCCAGTTAACCTTTCTACAGGCTCACACCATCTGCTGCACCCCCGTGGATATCAGCTATGGAGGAAAGCACAAGCTAAAGCAGCAGGCCCTGGTGCAGCTTGGAGGCATTACAGGACTGGGAGGTCTGGGATCTTCCCATCAGTGACACTCTCCTGGCACCTGTTTTCTCTCACTCCATATATCTGCAGGGGAAAAAGACCTCTGCTCCAATGCCTGGGCTCTCCCTTCACTGCATCACACCCCAAACCTTCACTTATGACGTCACCTCTTTGCCATGACATCACAACACTAAAGCTCTTCAAAGATCAGCGGGGAGCACAGTTCTACCTCCACCCAAAAATCCCGCAGGACAAACTGAGGGAAAATAATATAACACAAAGAGAAGACAGAAGAACTTAAGTAGAACTAAGGAGTTTTTCCTTGTAAAAACTTTTTGTAAAAATGAGTTTTCCAAAAGCCTCTAACTGTTTCCTATTTATTGTAATTTTACTAGTAAATATTTAGAGTATAGCAATGTCCACATCCTTCACTGGAGCTGTGGTTCCACTATGGCAGTGTACAAGCAGGGAAAGAAAACCTCCTTGCCCTAAAGGGTTTACAATTCCAGGTTTATTTTAATATTTATGAATATGTATTACTTCAAGTCTTTGCTCAAAATACTTTTTATTGCATTGATGTAAACAACAATTTCTCTGGCATGTGTCCAGTTGTTCTGTACTAGGTCTTGTGATGCATTTAGACTTTGCTTCCTTTTACAAAACTGTATTCTGCTATAATAGAAAATACATCATTTAACTAAGAAGAAGTAATTTCATTTTGCAATCTTTTTCCCTGCTCTCGGTACATTTGTTATAATATTTTTAAATTTTTATTTTACGCTCTATTTTCATCCCTGGCTTATTTTCTGTGCTTTATATTTAATAATCTGTGCACATTATTACTCCAGCCTCACTGTTCAAAGCTTCCACTTCAGTTAAAGGAGATTTTCTGTTAGATGAGAACTGAAACCAGGGTGGACAGAGTTTTGCTTATTCTGTTGACACCTCGTGGATTTCAGTATCTTAAAACTTTTACAGAATTAGAGCAATTGTGTAACACGCTAATTTTTTTCTTTTAATATTTATGCACACTTTTTTTTTTTCTTTTTTCTACTGGGATTCTGCAAAAGAAAGACAATGCTGAGATCTGATAAGCCCTAGACTTACTTTCCTTTTTCATTTTAGGCATGTCCTGCACAGCAGGAGAGAGGGCAAACACACATTGACAGAATTGAACCAAACTAAACCCAGGTCTTTCACCAGGCTAAGCTTACCAAATCAATAAGTCCAAAACACACAATTGCCTGTTTGTTTGTTCTCTGGGTGCTGCTTTTTAAGAGTGAGAATTCCTGACCCTTCCAGCAGAGACTTCACAGGATGCCTTATTTTCAAAGGGTTCCCTGGTTTCACACTTCAGACCCAAGAGGATCAGATGGTTTGTGTCAGTATTTTACCTGCCCAACACAAGCCACAAAATCCTTCTGATTCCTGCCTTGAGTCATAAAGGAAGAGATTTCTCTTGCAAACATCTCAAAACAGCAGAGAAATACAAATACTGAGCAGTTCTGTAGAGAAGACACCAGCACTCACCCCAAAAGTGTCCTCCTCTGGTTTGTGGGTCACAGTGATCGGTGGGGTGGGACTCACTTCATAATCACCGACTGAAACCAAAACATCAAAGACAGAAAACTCAGTGTGGCTCTCACGGGACTCCCAAGGCACCAGCACATTCCAACAGCAGTGCCTGGCCCAAGGAGATTCAGTTCACCCCTAAGAGAGGCTGCAGCTTTCTGTTTGAGAAGGCACAAATCAACCATCAGAGAGTTCCCTCTGCACACCAGCAGAGAAAACACAGACCAGCACTATGTTGATGTTGTTCCAGCCTCACAAATGAGAAACATTTGGGTGCCTGGTGTCCTGGAATAGTCTCCCACCACCCTTAAGCCCTCTTCCTATTTTCAGAAATCTACTGAGCTAAGTGGAGTTAAAACAGAACTAACTCCAGCAAAACTTGCTCTGAACAAACATTAAGTTGAATGCTTTTTGTGGTGTATGATGTGTTTTGCAGGGGGGAGGGAATAATCTGTTGAAGAAACACAACAGAATTGAGACCTGCTTCTCATCCCAGCCCACGGCAGAGAGATGTTGTTGGGGACAGCCCAGCCTGCCTGAAATTAAGATCCCTTTTGCTACGCCACAACCAACCATCATTTCCTTTATAGGACCTTCTTTGGGAAACACTAGAGGCAAATGAACATCTCCTGGTCTCATGAGATTATCAAGCTGATCACAAGATCCCAAACAATCTTGTTCATGCACAGGGAAGCCAGGGTTTTGTGCAACCTCCACCAACCTGCTTCTGGCTTCCTCATTCTTGCTATGTAAATCACAGAGGGGAAGGGGAAATCACAGAGACAAACCAGCCACAGTATTCAAAAGGCAAGGAGACACTTACTTGACACAAAGCTGTCCGTACTCTCTGTGGAAAGGACAAAGAGAAAAGCAAAACAGTCAGCAGCACAGCAAAGGGAGAGGGGTCTCCTTCCCCACCCGCTTCAGACATACTCCACCACCCCAAAGAGACCAGGAAACCAACTAATCATATTGTTCCCTCTTGGGCAACTGTTCCTGGAAATTGCAGTGCATGGGCCAGCAGGACTTGCTGGAGGTCAGGATGGAGAACCTTGGGCTGAAAGAGGAGGGGGAGGATGCTACTGTGGGGCCAAAATAGAGAACAAGCAGCACTTCTGAGTGATGGGTAAACACCCCTGCTTTCAGCAGACAAGCAAAGCTCAACAGACACACAGGGCTCTGCAGGATGGAGGTGGAGGGGAGAGAAACAGGTTTTGCCTTGCATAGCAGTGTCCACCCGTGGACAAAATCCTTCAAGGATAAGGACCAGTTCCCATGGAGGAGAGCCCAGCTTGGGGCCAGGAGTTAGAGGAGATCTCCTGTGACCTTCATGAGTCACTCAGACCAGCTGAGAGCTTCTGAACTGCACACGGAGGCTGTGGCTGTCCAAGAGCTGCCTCTTGCCCGAGACAACCACAGCAGGCCCTGCTGTCAGCCTGCTGACTGCTCCAGTCTATTCAGCAAAGCTCCTTCAGCTCCAGAGGTGGCCGAGGCCACAGACAGCAAGGTCTAAAGCCCTCGGTGACACTCAGTTTACACAGAGTGAGAATCACGTCAGCTTCCAATTCACTCGCCACTGTAAGAAACTGAGCCCAATATTAACTGGAGTTTGCACAGCTTTGCTGGCTGAGAGCTCCTGGAAGGATGCTGGAATGCTCACACTGGAACATGGGTGAGGTTTGGAAGGGGAGTGTAAAACAAACCCCAGGTGACAAACATGGCTTTCCAAACCCAGGGGAAAAAAACAGAACAAATATTTTTTTCAGTCAAGCAAAAGAGTAACTTTCCCTGGCTTTTTCTAGCAAGAGAGGGGAAAAAAAAAGAAAAAAAAAATTTATTTGAAGACTTTTTCTTTTCTATTAAGGCAGAGTCTAGTCATAAAATTCTTGCTGCTTCTACATTTTCCCCTTTCCATTTTTCTCTGCTGGACTAAGCAATTCAACAGAAACGCACAAAAAGGTTCTTTTCCCATTATACCCTATTTTTCCAAGCATAAAAAATAGCCAAGAAATTTCAGCCAACTTGAGTTCTATGAGAAGTTCTCAAAGAACTGAACACCCATCACAGGTACATTAACCTCTGTGGATTAAATACGGAGTTAGTAGCCTGTGGCAGAGATACCAATGACAACATGCAATGAGATTCTTACAGGAAATGACACAAATCTGTCCTGAGAGCCACTGCCCTGCAGCATCAGAGAGAAGGCAGATATGGCATGCAGCTTATATGTCCCAGATCCCAGCTTCTAACAGCACTTTGCTCCTCTCAGCCCAGAAAGCAGAATGTGGCCAATGAGAGGTTTTTGACAAGGGATATAAAATACATGATCATAGGTCCTTTTCTGTGCTGACCAAGTCTTCCAGGCACTGTGCTTTCATTAATGAATTAAGAATAATAATCTCACCCTGGGTAGTGACAGCAAAGCCCTTGCACGTGTGAATTGCTGTAAGCATCAAGGGGCTGGAATGAGCCACGCTGGGGAGCCTTCAGTGTGTGGCATTTTCTGAAGGATCTACCTTCAAATGGGAAATTATAAATGTCAGCTGCAGTGAATGTATATGCCAGCTGTGGTAGTGGACGAAGCAACAAGCTTCCAGGAAAGTAAATTACATCCTGCATTGGGCTGACAGGGTCTGCCAGGGTGAGGAATGGCTTGGGACTTTGGATCAGAAGAAATAAAGGAAATGGGTCAGTAAGCATCCCACACCAACAGCACATGAGGCATGGGTGGAGCTGCATTCACAAAGGCAATATTTTATATATATTCACAGAACCCCATTCTCCCAGAGCCTCTTACACAAGATGCTCTTCAAACATCAATGTGCTTTTCCACACCGCAGTGTGGCTCAGATTCCTTTCCCAAATCAGCTCTCCAGAAGGGAAGCATATCTGCCTCCCTTTCCTGCAGGTCCAGCACCTACTTAGGAGCTGCCCTCGTTTCACAGATGGGGAAATTGAGTCACAAAGGTGGGACCTGACAGAGCTGAGACTGCAAACCTGTGCACCTCTCCTCACCCACCTACGTTTGATATGCTCTTCTGCCCTGACAGAAAGAAACATAAATAGGTCAGATAGTCAAACAGGGCAGCATCCTTGAAGTCAGAATACACATTTTCCACTCCCATCCATATCAGCTCATTTGTTCAATTGTCAGATCTTCAAGGCAGAGATTTGGGTTTGCATTTATGATATTTGACCTGCGGGAAAACTCTGTGTACATATATGGTGTGATATAAATAATAAATGAGAGTACCGTTGGTATTTTGCTATATTTAGCAAACGCCCTATTTTGCTGGATTTTCTTGGGCTGCAGGGGCCAATTTAGAGCTGCCACTTTCTCATGGCATCATTCCTGAAGGCAACACAGATCTTAACTCCATGATGGCCAGCATGGTGTTGCACTGTCAGGGAACAGACCAAGCTGCTCCTACAGAGCAGACAGGCCATGACAAAAGTCTTTACAGTGCTTCCCAGAGATGGATCTTCATGTCCTCAAACGCTTTTTTTTTTTTTTAACGCTTAAGCTGTGAATCACCAGGGAGTGCAACAGGGAATTCCAAGCAATCAGTTAAGAAATCCCAGCAAACTGATGCAAAGTGACTAATTGAGCTGTCGCATCTTTTGTAGCCCTGTCATCCTGGAATTGCACATATTGCATTTGGAAAGAAAACAATCCTGACACCGCTGCATCCAGCTTTTATCATTGCACGGATGCAAGCTAGAAGTAAAAGAAACAAAGGGACAGGCTGCATCACTTCAAAGGCTTTTCCTTTCTATAGCTTATGACTACCACAAAGCAGAACACTTTCTCTAGAAAAAAATTCAGCAACATCATTGGGGCACCCAAAAGGAGATACAAAATAATTGGCCAAACTTAAATCCTATTCCCATGGAAATTCCTAAAGGTCTTTCAAATAAATAAATAAATACACTGCAGAATATGCTACAAAATAAAATTATCTAAAGCAGTTAGCATCTCTCCCAGCATTAAAGAGTTCATATGACACCAAAGTACATTTGTGTAGGAAAATCATACTGATCAGAAAGAGGCTGCCAGGGGTCACCTCTTCCAACCTGATGTTCAGACAAAGCCAACTCGGGTTGTCAAGGCCTTGTTGAGGTGCAAGGATTCCTGGCAAGGCCATAGTAAGACCTTCAGATTGCAAGGAGCCCTGATGAGATAAACTGAATATCCTACCTGGAAAAGGCTTTTCAAGGAAGTGTCCTTTGATAGTTTGGTTGGCTGAGCCCAGCTGGTTGGTGGCCACAATCGTGTAGTTGCCATTGTTGTAGTGAGTGGGTTTGTTGAAGAGCAGGCAACCCTCAGACACTTCCCCTTGTTGGTAAAACTCCATGCGGATGATCTCAGTCTCCCGGAGGACCTGGCCATTGTGCAGCCAGTGAAGGGTGGGAGCTGGGTTCCCATGCACTGCAAATGCAATGCAGTGGTCCATGTGTAGCACCGGCTCCTCCAGAGTAAGGATGCGAGGGGGATCTAGCAGAGAGAAACATGGCAGGCTCACAGCAACCTCCACCCAACGCCACCACTCTGTGCACCATGGAAACTAAGAGCATTGAAAACCTCCAAAATCACTTGTTCCTTCTACTCTTCCCATGGATGGCTGTAAAGAAGCAGCGCTGTCATGAGAACCACTCCACCCTCCCTCAAAGGAGGGTCTGAGGCCTCTTGGCCTCCCAAACAGGGGTATAAATAAAAGACAGGGATGGAAATTTCACCAGCCCAGAAACAATTAAGCTTAAACTGTCCTGTCCACACATCTACCTCTGCTCTCCTTCCCCCTAGGGATCCCGTGGAGACTGCCTGTCCCCATTAAGGAGGACACAGTGATGTAGCACTGTTCCATTACATTACAGATGTGCAAGGTGCCTGTGGGAGGTCTCCAGTCACACAGAGCAATTCTGGATTGCATAGCTGTGGAAGCAAACATCCCTCAGAGACTGTCTGTCCTTGGGGGCTTTGACTGCCTGAATATCCCAAAGGAGTTCTCACTCGCCGAACAGCCGCCAGGGGTGTTTTAATTAGGGGGAGTAGAGTGGGAGAGGGATAAGAAAAGCAGAAACTCCACCTGCAATTTATTGCATATGCATTGTCTTCCCCTTGGGACACACCGAGAATTCAAATGTTGCTCTGCTATAGCTTCTGAAACCCCATTTACAACGCCTACACCTAAGGTCCCAAACCCCAAGGCTGGCAAGGTCTGAACTAGAAGAACAAGTTTTGTGCAAAGATATGTGACACAATGATTTTTGTCTTCCCTAAAACTCTTCTTTTCCTGCTACCATCCAGCTGCAAAGACAATCCATTTGGCATCCACAAGGAAGAAAACCAACATACTAAATTTGACCCATCTTTGTGAAAAAAGACACTGAATTTTTAAGTCAGTGAAGTTGAGAAAGGAGAAAAAGGTGCAAAGCTGGTTGGAGCTCAGCAAAATTCTCCCACCAGAGCCCATCTACCCTGAACCACACAGTCGTGTCCCTCTTTCATTTGCGAGCCCAGATCTGCATGTGGCTTGTTCATATCTTCCTGGCAAGGGGATTCAAAACAGGCAGCCACCTACATGCACAAACCCAGATCTTTTCAGTGTAAAATTACAGCCTGAGCGATGGCTCTGTGCAACAAGAGCAAGGGTAGCAGAAACTGTCAGCAGCTTAGAGGATTTCACGGGTGAAAATAGGCATGGGCATAGTGCTGTTTAAGGGGTGGAGGAACAGATGCTAAAACACCGTGCAAAAAACATCCATCTGCTGACCAGTCAGCTCTGAGCTGGGCTGAACTTTAATTACCTCCATCCTTCAATCCATCAATAGTACTTATTGGAAGGAAGATGAAAGTAGTAAAGCATCACACAGCATGAATGGTTTTACCAAGAGCAGTTAGAATCCCACAAGGGTCTCTGCTCTACATGGCAAGGTTGAGGTGGGGGACATTTTCAAACTACAGAGTAAGGGCAAATATTACAGACACAGCAAAATATAGCAAATCTCAGCTGCTTGAGACCACAGAGCTGTGTAAACTTCCTTTTAAGGTCAGGGTTTTGTTATATTAGAAAGCACAAAGAAAGTTGAGCTACTTGCAGATAAAAGCGAACAGTTCAAATTTGACACATGCACATTTATATGACATTTGCAGTTTAACTTTGTAGGATCTGACCTGAGAGGAAATCCTAATGTCCCTGAAATTAGTGGCAAGTTTTAAACTGTCTTGAGCAAGGGTACCATTGAACTTTCACATAGCATCAGGAAAGAAACTTTGCTTTTGTTAAGAGATTTTTAGTCTCTCTATGGCTTTCCTTTAGTCTACTGAATCTTCCAAGACAGGAAGGAAACTCCCACCACCACCAGTGTGGCACTGCTGTTCCTTCCCTGCTCTTGTGCTCATTTCTGGATCAATGCAGGCATCAGGAAAGCAAAATTACTGACATTTGAGGAGGAGAGCTGTGCAAGGATCCACCTCCAGCTCACTGTGCTCAGCTTCTCCTAATCTTCACCCACAAAACCAGTATGACACAGGTAGCAAGTGGCCATGCATTCAAACAGCTCCCAGGGCAGTCCCTCCAGGGTCTGTAGGGACAAGGTCTCTCCACTAGTACTTACAGTAGACAGTGAGCAGCACACTGGCATTGCTCATCCCCACCACGTTCTCAGCAATGCAGGTAAGCAGGAATCCATTGTCCTCGCTGGTGACATTCACCAAGGTCAAGTTGATGGCATGAACATTGGTCCAGTTGAGGTTGGTCTAAAAATCCCAGGGAGAAATACAGACATAAATCAGTATCTGGTGGCTCCTTTCCTCCCCTCTACCACTCCCAGAAAAGGAGGATCACAGTTTCCATGTGAGGAGGCCTCCAAAATCCAAAGACAGCTGGGATCTGGGTGAAGGGAGGTATTTCCTCACCTGATCAAATACACCACATCTTGTAAGAGGAAATACAGGGAAGGGGAGAGCCATTGTAGCACTGATAAACATGGCCAGCCTCTGGAAAATCTTACTTAGCTATTGCAAACAGGCAGTTTCACTGGAGTTCCATCAGAGGACACATGAGTTAATTCAATCAGGGAGCACTGAGCTCTGAGGCTCTCTCATCTTCACTTTCTGGCCCTACAGAGGAAATATTTTCCTCCCTTCTGGGATCCCCCAGCTTCTCATGTGGATAGAGCATGGCTTCAGCTCTCCTTTGGATACAACAATTTCTCTTTTCTCATACTATCTACCTGACTCTCTGCCCTGCATGCACGGACCTGGGAAACCGTGGGGGCTGCTTTACTCTTGCCACACTGGGCACAGGCAGCCCTCAGGTGTTGCAGCCCCTACCTGGTGGGTGTTGATGGAGTGGAGCTCAGCCACTGTCCAGTCCACGTCCGGCAGCGGCGATCCTGAGCCATTGCAGGTGATGACGGCGTTCTCCCCTTCCCGCACCGTCAGGTTCACGTGGCTCACACTGATCTCAGGAAGGTCTAGAGGAGCCAAAAAAAACTGCTCAGGTGTGGGGCATAATTTTCTACAGCCAGCCACAGGAAGTGTGTGAACTCAGATGCCACCAAGCTGCTTTCCAAATCAGCCTCCAACACCCCGAGATGAGTAGCATGAGGCAACAGAATGGCCTCGCCCTACCAAGAAAAGGACCAAGAAGAGGAGGGGTGTTGGAGACAGGAGAAAATCTAGACACTGGAGACATCCTAGCTGAGCAGACCCTCTCATCAGCTTCGAATCCAAAAGTTGCTGTCCAATTCTGGCCACTCTTCCTCTCACACAACCCCCATACCCATCTCTTTACTCCCACGGAAGCTGCTCACGAGGGCAGTCACCTGGGATCAGAAAACTGTGTGTACTGGGAGAGGATCCAAGGCATCCCCACCCCCAGGGACAAGGCACAGAGCACTCAGCATTCCAGGTGAAGAAAGTATCCCTCTAATTTATAACAATCAAGAAAAGATGACCAAGAATGTGTCCTCATATTAACTGCAGCTCTCCTAATAGAAGGTGCCCTTGTTCTTCCTTGGTGGTAGCAAAGGGATTCGCTGATTTATGGTGGCTGTGATTTACACCAGTTCCTTGCTGCCACGGGCACCAAATATCCTTGTGATGTTCTGGTTGCAAGAAGGCCAAAGTCTTCTTGAGTAGGGGAGGTTTTCAGAGGCAAATTGAGTAAGCAGGGCAGGAGGAACTGACCAGTGGTCCCATCCCACCACAGGGCAGCAGCATCCATCATGCCAAGGCAAAGTCATGGATGGGGACACACACACCCTTTCATGGCCATCAGAGAGTGGCACCAGGAAGGAGCATTGTACTGATTAGGGTGTTGTCAGAAGAAAGAAATCAGCAGTCAAAACCTGGCAAAGCTGCATAGGTGGCAGGAATAGTGGAGAAGGAGATGGGAAGGACGATGTATGGTCTTCTCCAGGCTGAGCTGGGATCAAACATGGCCACACCAAGCCATGCCTGCCCTCAGCACCAAAGGACAAGGACAAATCAACATCCCTGGAGTCTTAATGCTTGAACAGAAAGACTCCTCTTGAGGAAAGCAGACCACTGTGGCTCCCTACCCTTCCAGGAGTCTGCATGGTCAGAGGAGATGCTTACCCTGCACACCAGCACATTTTTTCTCCCAAATCAGCACCCTGCTGTCCCCTGCAGTCTAATACCACCATTGATGGAGCCATCTCTCCTCCTCTCCCTGATCCCTAAGGATTTTTTTGTTGCTGCTTAATCCTTGCAGCTTATTCATCCCATGTGGGGCGGAAATTACAGCACTCTCAAATCTTTTTAGTTCATCCACACAAAGGCACACTTTGGCCAATTTCCAGAGCTTAAAGAGACAGGGTGAACTTGGAAAAAAAAAAAAAAAAAAAAAACTAACCAACAAAACAACAAAAAAACTAAGTCATGCAAATTCAAACGTGTGGGGTTTGTCTACTACTGCTACAAGTAACAAGCCCAAATCCCTAGTACAGAGGATGATTATATTAAAAAAAAATAAGTCTAGTTTTCCTCCTTTTTTCAGCTTGTGAGTTTGACAGCTGCTTGTGTACAGACAATTTAATTGCTCTGTGGAAGGTACATCTCTTTTTCCTTACTCTGCAAGGGATGCTTTCCAGTAATAGCAATTGCAGAGCAAAACCTGACACCAAACAGGCAGCTGATGTGTGAACAAGGTGCAGGAAAAAGGGATAACTATTGAACATGCCTCATGTTGCTCCTGGGGCCACTGGACTCTTTTAAAACACCAGTAGGAAATAGAAAGAGATATAAAGTCACTTCTGGCTCTTCCCTACAGATATGGGATTTCAATTGAAAAATAAAACAAAAGAAAATTAATAGAGACATGTATTTCCTAAGAGTAATTACAAAAGATTCAGCGTCAGGGTCTTTTAACAATATGCTGCTTCTAGGATTCGTTAGGCACAGGAAGATTTACATGAAACAGCTCTTTTCAAGACATCACACAGACTCACTACAGACACTTTGACAAGCAGCAGCAGTGCAGTGAAAAAAATGCCCCAAATCACCCAATATCTTTCATATGCACATTAATAGGAGCCTCACATTTACCCAGATATTCTATTTTTAATCTACAAACTATCCCAACCAGCTTCAACCTCCTTGTTCTCAACCATGTGGTGAGATCCTGCTACATCAGGTTCCTGAAGCTGAGGTGCTGGATTGGACAGGAATCCCTCCTGGCCTCCCTCGTGTCCAGCCCAGGGATCCTTACCACACTGGGTGATGTTCATTTCCTTCAAAGTGATGATGGCTGCATCCATGGTCATGCAGTAGAGATCCTGGTACTGCAGGTTTGCCTCGCTCTTCTCCTGCCAGAGCTGGATCCAGCGGATGTCGCAGCTGCAGTTAAAAAGGTTCCTCTCTAGTCTCCTGCGGGCAGAGAGAGGTGAGAGAGGATGGTGGGATGGGGAAGGATGAGCAGAGCTGTCACCTGGCTCTGGGACCCCCAAGGAGGACAGACACCATGCATGTGTAAGAGCTAAAGTTGAACCGTCTCTGCGTTATCCGCCTGGGCTCTTCTGGCACTTATTATTCCTGTCCTTGCCACGGTCGCACATCTGTTCACACAGTCTCCTTCATGAGTGCACACAAGGTTTTACATCTCCCAGGGCAGCACACAGACACAGTCCTGCCTCTCACCACAAGATCTGCACTACTGAGGCTTGGTGGCACAGTCACCCAGACACCCAAAAGAGTGACCCCTCAGCAGAGGAGCAGACAGCTTCAAATCCCACTTCAGCGGTGGTCCTAGACTCTGCTGGGCAAAGCACAATTCAAGTCCCCACAAGCACTCAGAGAAGCTGGCAGCACTTCTCCCAAGTTCCTTGTACAAACACAGGCTCCTGGTGACCCAGAACACAAGCTAATGTGCAGGGGAACATGCATTTTAATCAAATCAATCAGCACTGTGCTGAGACCCTGCTGACCTGGCCAGGAGAAATGGAGAAAAGCACTGCCTTTAATGTACTTCATTTAAACCACACTTACACATAGTTTATATACCAGGAATGTTTATTATAATTGATTTTCCAACCTATTAACCATTTCATTTACATTTTTAAAGCTCTGCAGGTGTCTGTGGGCATGCAAGAAATGCAAGTCCCAGCAGGGAGAATAGCCCAGTGCTCAGTCAGGACTGAGCTACCAAAGCTGGCTGCAATAATTTGAGCAAAACTAGGAGTTACAACCTGAACAAACAAAATATCTCCCCACACAACTGTAAAGCAATGAAAGTTGTGATCAGCAGAGCCAGCAGTACCAAAGATGAGCTCAGACACCCCAAAGCAGAAGGGCACCTCCAAAGGTCAAACCATTGTTTCATGTGATATCTAGATCCCCCATCATACAGGGGAAGTTTTTTCCTGCTCTGTTCCACATGTTACTGCAAAATTCATGCTTGCTTTTACAAAATTAATTTCACCGACTAACAGGATTTGGAAACAACCTTCCAAACATCTGCAGCTGCTGTTTTCTCAATACAGTGCTGCAAAAAGAGGAACTGAAGGGGTCTTCTGGTAGCACCCAGGGCTGCTTAACCAGAACCTTAATGGTGCCACTTTGCATTTTCAAATACATCAAGATGTCATCTGACCTTTTTTTTCAGTGCAAACACTGAGTTAAGCTTCACTCTGTGGCTTTTCATTAGTTCATTTCTTTCCCACCGAAAGCACATAAACCTCTGTGACACAGGTACAAGGCTCAGACAAGCAACTCAAAGGCCAAAGCACTAAATTTAACAGACCAGAGCAGATTAGCGCAGTGATTTGAGTGATGAGACACTCCCTGCGTGCTCTGACAGGTACTGCCAGGGCTTTGCACAGGCTTTACATTCTCTTCTACACAACCATGAATCTCCTTCTCAGGAGCCCCCAGAATTACTGATGCCAACAGGACACGGGATGGCAAGCAGGTAAGGGCAGGACAGGTAACTGGGGATGTACCCTGGGACCTGGCAGGGAGCTGGGGGAGCTCAGATGCAATGGGGGAGAAATTCTGCCCTGCTGCAAATATCCTCACCAAACGAGGCTGCTGGGAGAGCTGCTGTCCTAGCACTTAAGGGCAGCTCTGTAAGTAACAGACAGCAGCTTTCCCGGCCCATTGTTAATTCATGAAGGGCCATGAATAATACAGGAGCCACGGGCTTCAGGGCAGAACTTCCCCACAGCCTGCCCCAACACCAGCAGTGTAACTCGCTCTAATCGAGACCCCCAGAGGGGCTTTTGCACAAATTAACTCCCATCAGGGGCTGGATGTGCTGAGTGCCACGGGCAGCTGGCACAGCTCTGCGGGTAGAAAGGGTACATGTGTGCACCCCTTGTCCCTAACATGCATTGCTAAGGCATTCCTAACATGCAGAAAACACCCTTTCCTCCTTGCCTGCTGCCTGCCTTGCTGTGCCAGCCAGCTCACCAGGGAGGTGCATAGGGAACTCCACACTCACACTGTCCTAAAAACCTGGACTTTCAATCCTCTTCTCAGACTCCTTCCCTTGCAGGGACCATCAGGAGATGCAGCTACATCCAACTCTTCCTCTCACTTTTCTGTAACACACCTCCACTGCCCACAACCCTCTGCTTGTGGACATAAATGCACCTTCTCTTCCTACAAGAAGAAGCACCTTGGGGGCCACAAGGGACCCTTTGGACAAAAGACACTGTTGGACCAGAGGACACTGCCATGTGCTGCAGACCACGGGTGCAGCAGCACCCCAGTGAGAATTAAGGCAAGGGGCCCTTTGTGGGACACATCCAACACAACTTACTCCTGGAATGAACAAACAAACCCAAAGGGCATTTTTTGCATGCCGGCTGAAATTGTTGCCAAATTGTGCTGGGCTCCCTGCACAAGCAGAGCTGCTCTGTCACTCAAGGAGTTCATCCAAAAAGGGTCTGAACCTGCACCTGAGACAGAGCCATCCACCAGCAGCATAAGCAGAGGGTGACAGTAGGGTGTATTCATGGCACAGCCCCTTCCATAAACAGGCACACTATGTTTGGGAAAGAGGAAAATCGTGGCAATCCTTCCATGAGCTGCCATTTGATGGGACAATGACCCATCAAAACCAAAACCTTAGAGCCATGCAGGCATCAAGTCAACTCTTCAACAAAACTGATGCTGCTGGTGCCTGGTTGAGCCCAACTTTGCTCCCTGCAGAGAGCTGCACCCACTGTCTCCCAAAACTGCCTGGACAGCCTTCACCAGGGTGGACCAGTGTGGGAGACAGATGCCATCAACACTCCAGTGTGTTCTGGAATAGACAGGGACTTCACACACACAAGCAGTATTTTTCCAGGCAAGGCAGCTAAATGAGACACACGCCCTGTCCCATTCCTCCCTCCTCATCACCTAAAGCAAAGCTGTCTGCAGCTAAAACCTCTCAGAGGGCAGCAGAGATCCTTGCCACACTTCTCCTGTCTGTTTCAATTCACATAATATTCCTGCCAAGGTTTCATACTCTTACAATTAAAATGCTCTTCCTACCTTGGGACTGAGGCCACTTCCCTAAGCTTGAGAAGCAAAGAGCACGCAGCAGAGAGAGAACAAAATCTAATTTTTTAAATTACTATTAATTTCCCAGAACCAGGGTTTCTCTTGGTGGTCCAACCAAAACTGTTATTTCTGAACCCCTGCCAGAAGGGGCTGGGATAGAAAGGGAAGGACTGGGACAGGGAGTGGTGTGTGCTGCCTGACAGCTGGCTCAGCTAATACAGAGAGCAGACCCACTGTCTGGCCACAGCTCTATTACTGGGACTGCCAGTGGTGACAAGTTTCAAAGCTGGAGGCACAGACCCTGTTAAGTTGGACTCATAACATTAACAGAAATGCTGCTGTGCCCCATCCCCACCAAAGCCTCTTGCTGTAGCATTGCAGAAATGTACTGCAGGGCAACTTGGCAGGGACTGCTGGTATTAGAAATGCTGATGGGTCGGGCAGAGCAGCAAGATGTTCAGGACTACAAGGTTTTATACAACCAAAGATGTAATTGGATCCAGTCTTAGGTCTTTCCGGGAAGGAATTTCTTGAAATGTCAGCTCTAAGCTCTCTGAGGATATGACAAAGGAAGCCAAGGACATGAAAGAGGAAACCAGCTGTGACTTCTGGATAAGAAAGGCTCTAAGTCCAACATTTATGAGCTGTTGCATGTGTCAGATGCTTCCCTGCACACACTCAGCTTCAGACTTAGGAGAGTTGTGCACTCATTAGCCTGAGCCCTGCTGGTCAAGGTCAGCCCATGACATGGGAATTAGGGTTGGAGTTACTGGAAACAATTCCAAGCCTTGTTTCTGGCCAGAATGAGCAAGAGATAATACTCTCTGGACGTGTGCCTCATTTTTGCCAACCTTTCTTCAGTGAGTCAGCAGGGAAAAATCTCAGCTCTGTTGAACAAGAAATTCTTCTTTAAAGCATTACCACGTTCATGAGGCTGTGACGCCTTGGATGCAGCCAAGCAGCAATTTCAAGCCCCAAGTTGCCCTCCACCTGCCCAGTACTCTTCTGATCTTTACTCCTCATTGTTCACTGTGAGTGGCTTTATCAGGTCTCGTGCTCCCTGGCAATCTCCATGTCACACTCAGTTGTAGTTCCTCTCGTCCCAGCACTCTCCTGGAGACAATCCTCCCACTGCTTCCCTCACCACATGCTCCACTGCTCCGAGTTGCCTCATTGTAAGTCACGGTTTTGGCTTGGATGACTTTCCTTCCTCTGGATCCATGATTTCCTGATAGCACAGGGGCACTGGAATTCAGTATAAGGCATCTCTGGTGCACCCACTTGTTCCACCAACCCTCCACACAAACACAGCCCTCTGGAGAAGAGACTCTGGCCTGCTGCTCTGTGTCCCTGGAGTCTTCTGGCCTCTCCACTGCTGTTCACAAATGCTGCTGCTCAGTCTTCCCCAGGCTGTCTCTGCATCAGCCTCTGCTGCTCACCACCTTCTCCCTTTCCACAGAGTTTTGGGCTCAGTTTCAATTCCTTGGCTGATGTCAATCTGCAACTCCCTTTCTAGTTTTCACCAGTGTTTCACACTCGCTTTATGTGGGCCATGTATTCTGTCTCCCTCCCAGGTTCTGGAAGCCTCCTTGGAGCTCAGTGTGCCGAAAAACTGTCTCTTACTCACCCATCCTCTGCATTTCTAAAAACAAAAAATACAGTATTTCCCACTTTGGTGGATCCGTTAGTAATTTCTCCCCAACTTGGAGATCTGCTCTTCTGCACCAACAGGTCCCATCCTTCTAGCAGTCAGGACCACAACCCCCTCACAGCAGGGAACGTGTGTTTATCTTAATTCCCAACATCTTTATGTGAATGATTATTCAGAGCCCATAGCTCAGGCTACACCTCTGTGCTGCCTTCTTTCCAACAATTCCAAAGTTCAGTGTCAGGAAGCATGCTGCTGGCACATCCCCCTGTCCCTTAAAAACTGACATCTCAGGGGACATCCAATAAAAATCCCTCTCCTGTTGTGTTTGTGGAACAGCTTCACCACATTATTGTGGTAATCTCCGTCCTAGCTGTGCTTATGTGGATGAAGGATCCTTAGTTACTCAGAGGGAACATTTGTCACAAAGCACCTAAAGCAATTCTTTAGGAAAAATGGACTTGACCATTTGTCAAATGGTCAAATGGACTTGACCATTTGGCTGGGCTCTTGGTCCAGCCCAGCCAACAGCAGGGCAGTCCCTGTGGGCAGGCACATTCCTAGGTCTAAATTGCTCACTGGAGCTGCTGCCAGAGGTTGGTTTGCCAAGACCCCTTTCACAGCCTGGAGCAGGAGAGGCTCCTGCCCCACACGATGCCAAGCCTCCCCATGGGACACCATGGACCACACACACCACATCAGTTCTGCTTTCCCACCCCACCATGGCATCCTACCAACCAGCTCAGTCATCTCCTGCATTTCTTTGTGCACTTCTTTCGTTCATTGGGGTTTGTTATCTCCAAGAAAGCTTCTCTGAGCACAGCTCCAACTGGAGCCAAGTAATTCAGCTCCTTCCCGCTTGCCAAGCTGCAGAGTGCTGGCCCCAAGTGACTCTGCTGACACCATCCAAAGCCACCCCAAGCACACCAGCTCCCTGCCAGATCATCATATCAGGACAGCACAGATGTATTCATCAGGTGAAATACCCTTTGCTGCCCAAAATGCAGCTTCTCAATTCCCTTTGTGCTTGGTATTGGTATTTTGAGCCCAGATGGAGCTGGCAGACCTGGGGCGTGCCTAAGGAAACAAAATATGACCAAATGAAACAAAAGCACATAAAAATGAGCCCCTTTGGAAGTATTCCCATTAATCTGCAGGCTCACCATTACCCCGGGCCCTGCGAGTGCCTCCAGCTCAGGACTGCAGCCCCATTTGCTCCTCCACTCTTGGGTCTCTCTTGGGTAACAACCATCAATCTGGGTTTTGCCAGACAGTGCAATGACAATAAGTAAAGGTCTAAGAATACAAATGACTCATGCTATTAAACTTGAAACCTGAGCCAGGCTTGAAAAATATTTTGAGCTGTAATCAGCAAGGAGACAAATTCTGAATTCAGCATTTTAACTCTGCAAGGCAAATTCCACCATTAGAAGGGCGTTTCTCCATTTTCTAATATCACTATTAGTATTTTTCATTTAACAATTTGACAGAAATAAAATACACTGCAGTAACACCAGTGATAACACACTTACTCCCACTTGAAAGACTGTCTTTATTCTTTCATAAGTCACTTCTAGCTTACAGCTCTATTGATCATCAGTGAGGATGAATGGAGCTTCCCAGGATCCTCTGGGACAAATCCTACATATATATTTTTTTATACCCACCAAACAACTATTCCTAAAATTCAACAAAACAGGTCATCAGGGCAACGTTCCATTGATTTCGTGTCCACTTATTCTTCAAGCACGATGCTGAATGCTCTATCAATAATTCAGCAGGCTGAAGGCCACCAGAGCCCCAGGAGACACAACTATCTCATCATCTCCCACATCAGAGCTGGAGGTGTCTCCATTGCTAGAGAGAAAGGGAATCATGGGCCTAAAAAGCAGAGGTGGCTTGCAAAGCATGTGCACCAACTAAAGAAAAGCAGTTAGCCCTACCCTGCAATAGATGAGAGCAAGTGTTTGAAGAGATTCACTCAAAATCTGGCCTAGTAAGTATTTCTAATGTGCTCCCAGAGTTAGTCAACCATTTACTACTCCAAGCATGACTTGTTCATCATCCCGACATTAATTAGCCAGCTGCTGTGAAGTTAAAAGAGAAGCAGTTCTGCTCTGGTGCTCCCATACCCAGGAAAGCCTCCCAAAGATGCTGCTGCCCACTGGAGTTTTAGGTAATTATTCGCTGGCTTCAAAATAACTCTATTTGGAAATCGTTCCTCCTCTCAGCCTCCTGTCTTTTCCCAGGAGATACCCGCAGGGTGGGACTTACAGTTCAAAGAGTCTCAGTGTCTGGAAGAGTTGCCATGACAGAGTGGTGAGCCGGTTCCCGGAGAGGTCTCTGAAAATTAAGAGAAGAAAAAAAATAAAGTAGGCACTGTAAATAATTCTTCCTGCACACAGCCCTACCACCTCCACAGAGCTCATCGTCCTCCTCGATGGGGAGGCTGTCAAGCAGTTTAGAAACCAAGTTCAGATTTCATAATGAGAGACTTTAATGAGGACAAACCCAAATGAAACTTTCTCTATTTTTTTTAAAGGGGAAAAATCATTTTTATCCTGCTGCAATGTTAAGGAAAAAGAAAATCCAATGTTTGATTCTTGCCCATGAATCTGGAGTTCAACCAACCATAAGCAAAAAGAACAAGTCTAATTTCAGAACTTGAACAAAAAATTAAGTGCAAATCTCACGTTAAAAATAGTAACAGCCAGGTTCAAATGACAGCACGATGATTACCCAAGGTGTTATCATATGATCTGCAGTAGCTGTGCATTCCAGGTGTCCCAGCATGGCTGCGTGCACCCAGGGGTACCACTGCTACAGCAGCCAACAGCTCCCCATCCCTCTCTCCATCTGCCCAAACTTGCAAAAACATAAATCTCATCTACCTGGGAGAGCTTTGCAACCCAGCAGACATCTTCTCTTTAGCTGAAAGCCAGAGAGGATGAAAGAATGTAAAAGGAACTGAATTAATAAAAACAAGAGGAAGAAATGTGTCTGGAGCAGGGTGAGCAGAAGGAGAACAGCCCTCGGGTTCCAACAGCCCAAAAAGATGGTAATTAAACACATTCTGTTCTGGCCAGCCTTCCCAGGGACACCTGGCCAGCCTTTGAGCCACCAGCCAAGTGACCAGCCCATGGGTGAGTGAGCAGAGGAATGAGTGATCACAAGTTCTGGGAGAACCACAAATGCCTGACCTCTGCTGGTTTCCAGATCACACAGGAGGTGTTACCTCACCAAATCCATCCTTCACCAAATCCATCTCTGCTGTGAGCCACAGGCAGGCAGGGCAGCCCCTGTGCCTCAGCCTGGCCCACATTGGGAAGAGCAATGAAGAGCCAGAGGCATCAATCACCTAAGGTTCATTCAGCTCTGGGCTGGCCAAGTAGGAGGTATGACCCAAGGCAGTCCAGCTGTGCAAGGCTCAGCCCCCAAACCCCATCTGATTTGCAAATAAGTGCTAAAACCAAGAGAGCAAACCCCTGAATGGCTCCTGCTGGCACAAGGATTTGGGGTGGCAGATTCATTTCTTCCCTTACACTGAGTTTCAGCAAGGGAAAAGCAATTCTGGTCCGGTCCCACCTGCATAGAACTCTGCAGTTAGGAGTGGGGAAGCTGCTCACACAGCAAAGCATTGTCCCAAAGGCTCTCCACGAGCCTGGCACGAGAACAAGCCCAAACACAAGGATGGCACAGTGTTGCCTTTTTAAATTCTGGCTCTGCTTCACATCAGACTACCCCGCTGTGGGAACCACAGCAAACCACAGGTACCTCATTTCACACGACTGTGATCCCACCATTCCCACGTCTGTAGACAAACTGCTTCCAGCCTCTGATAAAGGCAGGTAAAGCTAAGCTGGGGGGGAACAAAAATATTACAAGACTCCCTCCTTTATCCACCCCAGAGCACTGACCACCTGGAAAATTTGCAAAGACAGATGAAAAGTGGGAGGGGAAGGAGCAGCTCACTGTTACTGAAAAGTGAGACAGTAAACTCCCTCCCCCAGCCCAGGGAGAAGAAGGAAGCGTAAAGGGGATGCATGAGAGACAGCAAGATGTGGGAGAGAGGCAGAAATGCAGAGGAGGGAGTGAATCTCGCTGGAATGTCCTTTCTCAAAGGTCATGTTTTGCTACATTAGGCAGAAATGTCAAGAGAAAATTGGATTCTGAAAGAGAAGAGAAAAAACAACAGGCTTTCCACGCAAATAAGGGAATCAAAAATAGCATGATCGTGTTATTACAATTTAGGACACAGAGAGATGGAGAAAGGATGCATCCTCACTAATGCAAGGGGCTTTGCCAGGCAGATGTGCTCCGCTTCTCAACTCCCACAGTGCCTGGAAACCAACTCCTACCTCCTCCTCCCTCCCCCAGACAATAACCCACAGCAAGCATTAGGGACAGAGGAGATGGCTCTTCCCTGGCACACATCTGGCCAGAGACTCTGTTCTTAAAGGGCAAAGCCAGTGTTTGATCTGACCTGACCATCAACTTCTGCAGGGCTGGTCAGGGGGTCACACACCCCCGGCTCCATTTCAGATCAGCCTGGACACACACAGGGAGGAGCGTGTCTGTCACTGGAAACAGACACCTTGGGCACTCCAAAACATCACAAAGGTCCTTCCTCAGGCTCAGAGACAGACCTCAGCACAGAGGCCGAAAGGAGCTGCACACAAACACACATTAAAATACACCACTTCGGTCACAAAAACTCCAAAGGTCAGAGATGCCAGCACTGGGATTCCACATACAAAAGGGTACAGCTACTGACTTGTGCTGCAGAAAATAGAGCTACTCCAGAGAAACTTCACTGCACAGCAGTGATTTCTCCCCAGAACAGCTCCGTCCCACGTGCTGGATGGGACAGGTTTCCTGGGGAAGGGAGCATGTGATTCTGTAATTAGAGATGGAATCACAGTGCATGCACACGAGGAAATTAGATTATGGCTCCACAGGTGAGGCTCTGAGCTCCAGCACTTTGTAACTCCTGTTTGGTGTTTGCAAGGTTCCCCACAGTCACAAACCTCAGCTGCACACACCAAGTTTCCCAGTGTTCTTTACAGGATAAATGGGGAGGTTTGGGGAAAATCAAGGCACTCACATCCAGAACTGGTCTTCTCACAGCTCCAAATCAAGGCCTCTCAAAGGCCCATTCTGCCTTTCTGCAGCATTTCCAAGCCTGTTGCCACCTCCAAATCCCTGTTACAGGCATGACAAGAACCCCACCACCCTATGCTGTGGCTGGGCAGTGCCAGCTTCTTCCTGACCCATTTCCTTCTCCCTCCTAGCTGGCTGAATCACACTACTCAGTGCTCTCCAACTACTCCCAAATATTTCTCAACCTCAATTTCCTTATCCATGCCCAAATTTCCTATGATCTTCCCCACTTCTACACCCTCCCACACCAACTGCAGTGTCCCAAGAAGAGCTGCTACTCCTCCCCCTTACTCATTCCTGAGCGTCCTTTGCAAAACTTCTCCCCCTCAACTGGACCAAGAGCCATTCTGCTGACCTAAGATGTCCCTGAGCAAAACCAAGTCTTCCAAGCAAAATCTGCCCTTTGACAAGATTGCTTTCCCTCCACGAAAGGAGGATGCAAATGTTCTGTAACAGCAGCACCACCAGCATTTTCTTGCTTGGACAAAACATCTTTTTCCTAACCTCCCTTCTGCCACCTCAGACATTTAAGAAAGCACTTATGTGAAACTAGAAAGAAATAAAAAATAGAATCAGCCAGGAGCAGACACCCAGAAGGGAAAACTTCAGTCTGAGCAATTAAAATCTGGCAGAATTATAGGAAAGTGGAAGCAGTCCTGCAGCAGCGTGCCAGACAACCTTTATAACAGCCTATGCATCAGTTCCACCTGTGACAAAACACAGCACATCACACATCAAGGAAACACAGGAAGAAGGAAGCAAAATGCCTTCCCTGCATTTTTCTCAGCAATGAACAGGAGCCTGTCTCTCCCAGGACAGATCTGCCATCAGCACCCCTGGAACATATTCAAAGTGCTTCCTTGCCATGGGACATTTTCTCCATCACTCACAAGATGCTCTTTTCCATGCAGACAGTCTCTAGAAGTAGCTGCCAGGGTGCTTTTTGCCTCCAAAAGGAGCTGAGTAGGGAGAGAGGGTTGGAGAGAGCTCACATGGAGCAGGTCCAGGGCAGAGCCACCCAACCCACCCTGGCTCGGGCTCAAGACCACTGTACAGCTCCCAAGGCTCCTGCTCCTGTCCCCAGCAGCCCTGTCCAGCAGCACCTCTCTGCAGGCTGTCACCACTGAGTGACAGCTGAATCCCAGCTCCTGCTCCTCCCTCCATCCTCCTCCTCCATCTCAGGGGGGAACACACCATGTCCCACACTCCCACGGCTCCCGCAGGCACTGCCAAGACCTTGCTGGACCGACAGGGAGGGGAGGTGACCTTTGCCATTTTGTCACAGCATGAGTGACAGACGGGGCTGTGGGGTGCCCCATGGAGTCCTGAACGAGCTCCTGGGGTTAAAAAGAGGATGGATGAAGGTGGAACAAAGAGGGGTCCAGATCTGTGCAGACCAGAACAAGTGGACTTTAATGCAAGAGGAGACAGCATTTTTTTCTTTTCCCTTAATTACGCAGCAGCCAAAAGTGTTTCCACTATTAAAGCCATTTTTATTCAGCTAAATTAAGCCAGTTGCCTCATTAATGACACCAACAAGCAGGAGCCCCTGTAATTAAACTGTAAGTTATTTTATGCAGTTCAGCTCAACGCAATGGCAGAAACGCTGCTGCTGGGGAGGGACCCTGTGCACCTGTCCCTCCTCCACGCAGCTCCATCCTCCACTTGCCCTTGTTTCCAAGCTGACACATTTATTTCTGCATGGAAGAAGTTTTTCACACGTTTTAATAACATGGTGCCACTATGAAAATCCTGACTGGGAGGGATTAACTTCCCAGAGCAGCTGGGGCTGAGGGAGCACGAGCGAGTGCCTGGCAACAATGTGAGGAGAGATGCACATCCTCAGCTGTGGTCCCCAGTGCTGGATATGCTGGTGGCACTGCATGCAACTCCCTTGCTATCTGGGCACAATAGGTGCTTCCCATCATCTCACAGCTCACTGCAGCCTTAGCTGGGTGATGGTGGCCACAGGAGAGGAGAATGTCACCGCTTCACATGCTGCTGTAAGGGCAGCTCCGTTCAGGCTTGCTTATCCCTGCCAGATAACTCCAATGACCTCTAAAAGCACTGTTACACTCCCCATCACCCTCCCTGCCTTCCCTGTCCCCCTCCCTCCTCTTCCTGTTTAGTAAGCAGCTTTGCTCATTAAGGGAAAAAATGTACTGTCCTCCCTTAATGAATGT